CACGTAGAAGCGATTTTCGAAAAATCAAGTCGGCCACAAGATAGAGCTTAAAAAATACTACAAAACCTGCTAATAATCGCTTGTTTTGCGAAACTGGAAATAGAACAAAAATTTGAAAAACTCACGTTTACACGCTAAGTGTAGGGCCAGTTTTTCAAAGTGAATTCACTTTTCAGGCCCAAACAACTGAATGTACTGCTGTGAAAGTTTCATGGAAAGATGCAGCTCGCAAAACTGAACAAAACTGAAATAGCAGTTTCATTAAAGTTCCAGACTTTGTCAGAAATTTTTACATTATACCTCGAAATGTAAGGCCAGTTTTTCTTACGAATTTCGAGCTTTTTTCGAATGAAACTGCTACTATTATATATCGTTCGACTCCTCACGACGTTTATGAAACTCTTTTTGAAGCTGTCGAGATCTGTTCAGCGGTGTGTCATATATGTGCAAAAAGCCCGATTTCGATGTATTGCGTAGGATAAACTCCTTAGAAGAGTAGTGGTAACTCTGCGTCTCGTTTATCTCAGCTTCCTAAGGTGTGGTAGTCGGGAAATTTTTACCACAGACTCAGTGAATGATGGGCAACAAAATGCACCTTTTCGATTTTCAATAGGATCACTTTCATTTCCTTTTATCAATTGTACAAAAAAGTTGCAATTGACTCATATATAGAAGTGGTTGCACAGAAAACACTTACGCCATATCCACATTAGCGGTTGCTTCATCAATAACTAATATTTTATTTTTTCTAAGTAAAGCACGAGCCAAACACATTAACTGTCTTTGTCCCACACTAAAATTTGCACCGCCTTCTGAGATTTGATGAGATAAACCATAGGGAAGACGGATAATCATAGGTTTCAATTGTACCTTAAAATGCATGAAAAATATTTGAATCTAAAGCAATAAAAACTGATGATATTTCAAATTACTTCTTCCAAAGCATTCCATATTTCAATTTCTGAATATTCACCGAATGGATCGACATTATTCCGAATTGAATCGTCAAATAAAACGGGATCCTTAAAATCATTTAGTTAATTTTTAATACATATCATATGATTTGATCGAAAAATAGTCACCTGCGGAATAATGGATATTCGATTACGAAGACTATTCAACGAAATACTTTTAGTATCTATACCATCAATTAGAATTTTTCCTTCTAAATCGGCCATTCTAAATAGTGCTTGAATAATCGAACTCTAAAACAACGAAAGACATCATAGAACAGAAACAATGTTTAACGTATATCACCTTTCCTGCTCCCGTTCGACCAACAATTCCTATCTGAAATTATAGAAGTTGATGTAGAGTACACAAATTAAAAAGTAAGAACAATACTTTTTCTTTTGGTTGAATAACCAAATCAATTTTGTTTAAAATCCATGATGAGTGGATTGAATAACGAAATGACAAGTTATCAAATTTAATTTGCCCATCTGCCGGCCAATGAGGTTTTGGCGGTTCATTATGTTTAGATTCTTCTACTGGTAAATGACAATACTCATTGATACGTTCAACAGCAGTCATCTACAACAGATTCAACGGTCACCATTTGTATAATAGGACGTATGATGCGCGAAAGTGTTACTTGTAACAGAAGTTCTGTACCCAATCGAATGAACCATTGGAGAAAACCAATTAATGTCAATGCATGAACGATTGCAACAGTAACATTAGCACTTGGTAGACCTTAAATATGTTAGAATAATAGAAGAAGACAATAAGAGTAATAATACTTACTTTTGTGCATAAGTAAACTTGAAAAAACTAAAAATGTAAGAAAACCAGCTGACAGCCAGTCAAAACGTATTCCGCCCCATCTATCAACTGTGCGAAGTAGGTAAATTGCTTTCGTATGATTATCCAAATATCTTTCGAAATCTTTGATACAAATTTCGGTTGCACGGAATGCTCGTGCGGTAATAACACCATCAAGCATAGCAGATAAATGAGAATAAACAGGACTTCGAGCTATTGTAGAAAATAAAGATTGATCAAATCAGTTAAGTCGTTTAAATGAATGCAAGTTGTTTTCGATGGATACGTCATCAAAGCATCAAAGGAACCTCTCTAACAGAACTTTGTTTCTAAACCGTGCAAAAGAATTAAACGGAACTTTTAGGGATCAAAGTACATTTGTCAGATAGACTGTCATGAAATTTTAGGCTGAAATAATCAATTATTCCAGAGTTCATAGATGACGAGGAGGATCATAATGAGACCAGAGGCGGCTAAGCGCTTTATAGTTGTGGGTGCTCAACTTTTTTTCTGAAAGCGCCCGTCCTACATTAGCTTAGGACAGAAAAGCTGATTTTGTGAAAAAACTGATTTCACCCTCACTCTGGCCGTTCACTAGACATGTAAACATTGTAGATACCAGAGCCCAAAACGAATCAGGAAATCATGATTCGGTTCGATTCGATTCGGGCTAGTTCAATGAAAATTAAAACTCTCTTCTCTTTGGTTTCTAAACATTTGTTCAAAATAAATACATACATAAACTTTCCAGTCGCTGACAATCTTGTGCTGATGATATATATGTTTGTCGAATGTATAATAGACCGATAAAACCCAAAATAGTTGGAATCAAAGTCCAAGGATTAATAATATTAATCAAAATAAATGTTCCAATAGTTATAAACAAACACTGAAAAAATAAAACAGACTTCAGTCGAACTGATTCAGGAAACTTTAAATCATACATCCATATAATCGAACAAGTTTGTTGGTAGTGTTTCATCAATAATCGCTGTATCTTTCGCAAATCTATTGATAATTCGGCCTTAAATAGAATGATGTATTAACACCTTCTTTCAAAAATTGCTAATATTTACCCATTGGATTTGTGTCAAAAAATAATACTCGAGAGTGTAAAATTCTCTGAAACATTTCGTTATGCAAAGAACGGGCAGCGAGAGTGCACGATATATAAAATAGGATTATTCTGACTATTGAGAATATTATTCCAACGGCAGTTAATAATGCAAAAACATAAAAATTTTTATTTCGATGATGATGCCATGCGTCAGATGACATATTTAAAATCTTATCATCAACTCTTGTAGAACAATTTGAATTTGATCTCATATGACGTGTCTGTTCTTGATTAGACCTTTGAACAAAGCGTAAAATATTAGCAACAGAATGAATAAAGTGAAACATCTCTCACCATCTTGATAACCACAAATCTGTGCCAAGTGTCAATATTATTGTAATGGTGAATAAGAGTATAAGAATAAACATTCCAAATAAACCGGTCCCAGACCGAAAATATTTTATAAATAATTTATAATTAATTAAGTTAAGATAAGTATTTTCGACAGTTTGAACTTCGCGTGGTTTCTCATTATTCAAAAGTGCTTGTTTATTATCGTTGGTAACTGAATTTTGATGTTGATACTCGTCATCCATAGTCTATGTTTCAGTAAAAAGGGATTAATTTAGTTTTATTAACTATTAACGATTTTTCATTAAGCACACTTTTACCGAATCTAATTGTTCTAATTTATTTTTATCATTTGTTTCTGAAATACTTTCAGACTTTTGATGTTGAATTTCATGAATTAAATGACAAAAACTTTCACTCTTGTCCAATAATTCATGATATGTTCCCTCATCAGTAATATGACCCTATAGAAAATTAAGTAACATCTGTTGTAAAATTCATACTGATGACTTAACATCACTAGTTTACTTTTTCCATGCATAATATTTTCGTTGCATTTTTTAAATACTGAATCTGATGTGTCACCAATATGCAAACTTTATGCTTTAGAAAGCCTCTAATACATCTAAACGTAGACACAAATAATGAGTAAAATTAAAGATGATACATATTTTTTACTTTTGATAAATAAATTTGCCTGTTTTTGGATCGACAGCGCTTAGTGGATCATCCAGTAGATAAATATCATAGTTTCTGTACAACGCACGAGCTAAACTTAGTCTTGCCTTTTGTCCTCCGCTAAGTGTTATTCCATTATCCCCTACAAGAGTCCACATTCCATAGTGTAAACTTTCCAAATCCTTTTTAAACAAATAATAGAAATTATATGATTATGTGATTATACATCTTTTTCCCTACCGTGTCAAATGCCGAGGCATGAATAGCATTTTGGAATCTTTCTTCATCATACTCCAATCCAAACAGAACATTCTGACGGATAGATGCGGAAAATATCCCTGAAAAGAATAGTTTTTTAATGATTTTTTTTTAATGCTATAAATTATCAAAAAGTAGACTTACACGGCTGCTGAGCAACATAAACACATTGTCCGTTAATCGTCATCTTTCCACTTTTAATTGACATTTCTCTTAGTATTAGTTGCAATAATGAACTTTTTCCAGAGGCTACTTGTCCTATGATAACCGTTAATTCGCCCGGTTTTGCGGTGAATGTTATATTCTGCAATTCGAATGTTTCACTCTATATGAAAATACAACGTTTAATTACACATGTATATGCAACTTGACTAGAGACAATTTTAATTTAATTTAATTTTACAACCGCTTTTTAGTTAATAGAGACTCAAATAGAACTCATGTCTGAAAGAATCAAAAGAAGAGTTTTGTGTCCATAACTCATCGTACGTTAGTTATCATCCTGACAAAGAATGGTATCGCTCTCACATGGTGGGAACGTAGTTTTGTTGCTTGTTGTGTCTTAACTCTACCTTTCTCGAAGGAAACTAGCTGACGAATCCGTCGAGAAAGGTCCAAATCGGTCGTGATATCTTCTTTTGAATCTCGCAGACATGAGTTCTATTTGAGTCTCTAGTAACTGAAAAGCGGTTAGAAAATTAAATTAAATTACAACGTTTAATGCACTGTTAAAAATGTTTACACTGAATAATATTCACATGTGTGAATATGTGTCACAAATGCTACACAACAAACACAAACTCATTAAACATAACACAACGCGATAATATATGGCACTAGTACAATATATAATGCTGTATACTACGTTACGTGCCATACATTGTCATATCATAAAACATTTAATGAGTTTGTGTTTGTTATGTAGCATTTGTGACCCATATTCCCACATGTGAATATTATTTAGCGTAAACATGGGAAAAAAATTGATCCTCTGCAATGTCGTACATTCCATTTGGCATAAATATTATCTAGTTGAACGTGTGGTGTCTGGTCTGCGTTTGTAATACGATATTCTAAAGGAATATCTTGTTCATTTTGTTCTTTTAACAGTAAAAAATCCTTAAGAAGATACAAAAAGTCATTATTATTCCACTAAAGACAATCTTGAATAAAATTGTATATTACTTTTATTCGGTTGCTTGATGTTATAGACTGTTGAAAAGGCGTAAATGCCTCGGAGAAACCAAATAATAATGTAGTTTTTAAAGCTACAAATAAAGCAAATTAATTGATGACACGTACTTTGTTTCATACTGTACAAACTTTGAAATAGAATAAAAGCAAGTGCAAATAGTTCCACATCAAACGGTATATTGTAGTACCATAAAAGTCCATACATTTGAAAGAATAACAAGGACATATATATCTGAGCACTGGACACGGTAAAAGATTCACACAGAAAAAGCCACATTACATAGGAAATCTCTTTTCTTAAACAAACAACATTATCACTTCTGTCAGTTAGGAAACGTATAAAATAAACACTTTATTTTTCTTTATCAAATCATTCTGTACTTTGAATCGATAAATATTTTCATTCTGAATATATACACACCTTCGTACTTTTTCAACTTTAAATTGAAATGGTTTTTCCCAAGTATACATTTTAACCAAACGAATATAACGGACAATTTCATTCATTAACTTAACTCGATGATCGGTTTGTTTTATTTTTCTCTCCCTAGAAAAAAATTGAGCAAAAATAAAATGCAAGAACCGGCATATAAACGCTGTTTATTTCTTAAGATGAAACAAGTACAAAAATGTCGTCATTGGATTTCCATAAATAATTTTCCAGAAAGTAAAAATTCCTTTTTGATTTTCTATAAACTGACAATTCCTTGGCGGCGCGACCAGGTTGTATGGGGGTTGACCTCGCTCATGCTTTTGAGAAGTTTCTGGTGAACGTCTCCGATTTTTGGACCTTCCGACCGAAACTTCGCGCCACTACTGTCTCTACCTAAATCAAAAATTCTTGCTGGCATAGTCAGAATTGTGATCTAAAGTAGAAACTGTCAAAATTGATTTAAGTGTAATATGAGTGTCTTTACGTGACGCTCTTATACCTACACTGATTGTAAGACAAAAAGATGAATAAGTATTTGATCTAGAAAGTCTTGAGCGAATTTCCGCTTTCTAGAAAATCCTCAGCGATTCTCCATCTTTATAGAAAATCGAATTTATGGAAATTCAAGTCGATTTTCTATGAACTAGAAAATCAACATTTCCTAGAAAGCTGGAAATTCGTCGAGGAATTTCTATAAACTAGAAAATCCCCAGCGATTTTTCGGTCGATTGTGTATAAACTGGAATTAATTCAAAATTATAGTGTAGTTGATTATATAAGAATCAGAGTTAAAAGAAATATTAGAATAGCAACAGAAAAGATACATTTGACCAAGAGTACGCAAATCGATTTGTATCTTTTCTTACCTCACTTTCCTTTGAAATTTATTAATATTTCTCGTCTTTCAGTTACTAAGCTGACTTCCAAATTAAATTGGTTGCAACGTTTTCTGACTATGTTCAATAGTCAAAAGAAACCTACAGACATAGGTAACCTGATGTGCTCTTCAAACCTGGCTAATTCAGAAATTGAGTTTAATAGAGCAACTTTGACTTTTAGAGATTTGTCTCTACTAGAAGCGATCTCCAATGATCTAAAAGCAGTCTCCATTATCAAATCTGAAATCAGCATCACCGATAACTTATAATCCTCTGATTTATATACAAAGAAGTACTTTATCACTTACACTGTAATCTTGAATTAATTTCTAGTTTATAGAAAATCAACCGAAAAATCGCCGGGGATTTTCTAGTTTATAGAAATTCCTCGACGAATTTCCAGCTTTCTGGGAAATGTTGATTTTCTACTTT